AAACTCTGTATTATTCTGGTGTGAGGACAGACGTAGGAAAAGCACGTTTCCACCGCGCTAACGCTTACTAAACTACAGCAGATTTTATCTAAAAAAAGACATTAAGCGGATACAAGTTGCATGCAGCAACAGCTAGCATCCCATAAATAAAAGTCTATTAGTTCTACTTGTTAGGAAACTTACCTTCATTGCAGCGACGAAAGCTAGGCAGTCAATTGATCCAGGCTCCTCTTTGTCTATCAAACCACCGAGAAAGAGCACCTTTTGTCTAGGAGGGAATCCTGCTATACTAAACCATCTGTGTAAGTCTTGGTACCTAAAAAATAATTCTACCTTGACTTTTGCAGTGCTAAAACATTGTTGTTTTTTAATTTGAGATATCGAAATATTTGTGAAAAATAGGTTATGCATCACGGAGCTGTCGCTAAGTTGTTTGTCGCTCTTCTCAGAGAAATTATTTAAAACGTACTGTCCTCTAATATCTCCTATTATTGTGATTGGAGCTCTCAGGGTGAGCATTGTGCTTTCGCCCTCGAACAAATCCTAAATGATATAATTGAAAGAGGCATAGATTTAGCACCCAAAAGAGCATAAATGACGATTTAATTTGAAAATTTTCAGTTAAATGTTTATTCAAGCCAGTTTTTGAGATACTCAGCACATCTATGCATATCTACGTATAAAACCAACCGCAGCTTGCGACAGAAGAGACACAAGCTCAAATGGTGTCCACTCATAAATATAGGGCCCATTTTCAACCAGTTGCGTAATAACGTAGCTCTCGTAGCTGATAATCGCCGTTCGATCAACCTTAACGTGAAAATAGGTTCCATTTCAAGTAATATGAACTTTTTATAAAGTCCTAAAGCGGGACTAGGTAAAGTAGCGTATATTTTGTGATCCTTCTGTAATATGAAATTCTTTGTAAATTAGAGTAATTGAATCGTATTTGTCCATTTTTAAGCCAAAGTGTCTGCTGACAAACTACTCTTTGCAGCCTCGCTATTGTGATAAGCCTTCTTCAAAGTATATACTGTATTTTCCAACTGTCAAAGATGAGAACAGCGGTGCATTTCTGCAGAATCACATCGGGTCATGAATAAATTTA